TGGCTGTGAGACAGGAAGTGGGGCTGTGCTTGGAGAGACAAAGCCCACAGCTGGACCCGGCTCTTTCCTTTCTGAGCCAGGGATGGGTGGGGGACGAAGCTGTGGGGTGGGCTCCAGCGGGGAGGTGCGGCCAGATTCAGTCCTCAGGGTGGGTTCATGGGGATGGAGAGTGAGAGCTGGGGAGGGAAGGAAGGCTGGATTCAGGGGTGGGGGTAGGGAAGCCAGACAGGAGGAACAAGTGGTGTCAAGGTCTGTGGGTAGGCCAGGCACAAAGCTGATGCTCAGAAAAGTCCTTTTTGGTGTGTGTGACAGGGTCTTACTGTCGCCCAGGCTGGAGTGCAGTGGTGCAATCATGGCACACTGCAGCCTTGACCTCCTGGGCTCAAGCGATCCTCCTAGCCTGTAGCTGGAACCACAGGCACGTGTCACCATGCCCAGCTAATTTTTTAATTTTTTCTTTTGTAGAGACAGGGTCTCACTTACATTGACCAGGCTGGTTTCAAACTCCTAGGCTCAAGTGATTCACCTGCCTTGGCTTCCCAAAGTGCTGGTACTACAGGTGCGTGCCACCACGCCCGACCAAAAAATCCTTTATAGTTGTACTTTTGTTTATTGATACGCAGTTAATAGAGGTATAAATGAATGAGCGAGTAAGTGAAAAGAGGGGGTGGAGAGAGTTGGGCATAAAGGTAGGAAGGTAGGAAACAGTGGCTTCCGAATGTGCCTGGCTGCAGGACGTCATGGAGGAGGTGCAAGGTGACATTGGCTGCTGTAGAAGAGAAAGGCGTCCGGAAGGTGGAGGAGAGGGTGTGCTCATAGTAGGGGAAATCTGGGGCCTCCCAGTGTAAAAGCAGGAGGGGAGAGAAGCCTGGAGTTGGTGTTGAGCAGCCACCCTCACAGAAGGGCTGCCCAGGGCCATGGTGCCCTCTCTTACTGGGCCAGGCACTGCCCTCACTGAACTCCCCGCTGCTGAGAAGAGGTCAGGAGTGGAGAGCAGGGGAGGGGCTAGGGGTGTGTGTGTGTGTGTGTGTGTGAGAGACTGTGTATGTGTGTGAGAATGTGTGTGTGTATGTGTGAGTGTAGGTGTGTGTATGTATGAGTGTGAATGTGTGTGAGAGCAAGTGTGTGTGTGTGTATTTGTGTGTGTAGGGGGATCAGTGAGGGCCAGGAGACGTAGATTGAGACGTCTGAGATGAAAGCACAAAGGGCGCACTCACCATGCAAATGGCCCTGCAGCGGAAGCCTGTTATCAGGAGCATCTGATGGGGTTTTTCAGGGTGGAGGCCAGCACCCCGGGCAGCACAGGTTTTCCTGGTTCCCAGGCAGCTGCCTGCAGTTGGCATGGCCCTGGTGTAATGCACCACTCCTGGACCCTCCAGCTAAGAGTCCAAACACACTGGCATTACCCGGTGCCCTGGAAACCACCTGCCTTGTCCTGTGCCACCCACCCACCACATCCTGGGGATAGCCTCTGCCAAAGGCATCAGACCCTCTCAAGCAGAAACTAGGATGGAAGTAGGTGGAAGAACAGGGCCTGGAGCACTCTCAGGTGATAAGCCAAGCTCTCCACCCACCAGGTCTTCCCCACACAGCCTGGAGTGCTCCCTGAGAGCTTCCCCGTGCCTCGTCCTCACCCCCAGGCCTCCTACAGGCAGGATGGGACAGGTCAGGATCAAGTTCTCACCCGCATGGTGCCAGGAGTTCTGATCTGGGTCCCTGAGCAGCTACTGGTGTTTCCTCAAGGAGCCAGGCCAGTTCAAAGCTTTCTCTTCCTTCCCCTTCTTGGGGCCTTGAGAGACTTTGGAGGACTCCTGAATCCAACCAACTTCCCTCCAGACGGTGATCTTCTTGAGGGCAGGACTGTGTCCCAGTTGTACCTGCACATGGTAGGTGCTCAATAATGACAAATACTTATCTGGAGCTTACTGTATGCCAGGCACTGCTCTTAGAGCACAGAGAGGTAACGCACCTTGCCCAAGGTAGCACAACTAGGAAGAGGTAGAGGTGGGATTTGAACCCAGGCAGTCTGGCTCCAGCCATGCCCTCCCATGAGTTAAGATGTATTTGTTTGATGGAATGAGCTCAGTTGGTGAGGCGGCAACCCTGAGGTCACCTCTGAGTGAGTTGGACCTGGTACCAGACTACCCAGGCCAGAACTGCCTTGAGGCACGAGATCCTTGGGCCCCACTCTCCAGGCTGGGGATGGGTGATTATTGAAGGGTGAGGTCCCTGGGGTCCTGCTGATGGTGGACAGAGCAGTCTCCTGGGAGGCTTTCCCCAAAACCTGCGAGAGCCATCTTCTGCTTCCTTCAAGGTCACCCCCGTAGGGCAGCTTTAGCCACAATCGTGGGTGGGGTGTGTGCTGGGGAGTGTGAAAGAAGGTGCGGCAGGAGGTTTCAGGAGGGTTGGAAGAGATCTGAGGGTGGGAGTGTGTGTGAGATGAAGCCCTGAGGGGCACCCTTGACTTCTCCCACTCTAGAGAAAGACAGGCTGGTCTGTCAAGTGGTTGGGGGTACCCTGGGGTCCAAGCCAGAAGTCATTGTATGTGTGGAGGTGGGGGCTCTGGTCTTATGATCAACCTGACCACCAAGGACCATGGGGTGAGGGTGCAGAAAGCAGAGGGACACAGACTGGGGGCAGCGAGGGGAGGGGGCCGCTGTTCACTTGGGGTCATAGCTTTCTTAATAGGAAAAGAGAGGCTGGAAGTCAGCCTGGGGGAGCCTGAGACAGACAGGAATAGTGGAGGTAGCTGGGCCAGAGCAGGTGCAGCCTGATAAGAGTGGTAGCCCCAGGAGGCTCAGGAGCAGCTGAGCCAGGCAGTAGCCCCCAGCCCAGAAGAGCAATTAGCAGGTTGGCAAATAACCGTTCCTCTGCCCTTTAGTTCAGAACCCTGGTTACTTGTTTCATCTGATAGCATCTGACTGGCCACAAGGCAGCGTCTTCATTAAGACCCCCGTATTTGGCTGGGTGTGGTGGCTCATGCCTGTAATCCCAGCACTTTGGGAGGCTGAGGTGGGTGGATCACATGAGGTCAGAAGTTTGAGACCAACCTAGCCAACATGGCGAAATCCCATCTCTACTAAAAACACACGAAAAAACTAGCTGGGCCTGGTGGTGCACGTCTGTAATCCCAGCTACTTGGGAGGCTGAGGCAGGAGAATCGCTTGAACCCGGGAGGCAGAGGTTGCAGTGAGCCAAGATATGGCCACTGCACTCCAGCCTGGGTGACAGACTGAGACTCCATAAAAAACAAAACAAAACAAAACACCAAAATAAACACTTTTTTTTTTCTGGGTTCATAAGACTAAGGAAGCCCACTCAAATTTCTCCAGTTGTCCATCTTACCCCCTCGGCACTCAGCTAACTGTGGGTAATTGAGATGTCACAGAAGGACCCAGTGAGCGGTGTCTGCAGGCCTGGGATGCCAAAGAGTATGACTTCTTCCAGGGGATGACATGGTGCCTGCTGACCTCTGAGCAGGCTGGAGCCTGCCACAGCCAGAATTATTATGGGGTCTAGGAAGATACCTTCCCAGCAGAAGCCATGGGCTGAGCAGGTGTAGGATAATTCACTGTTTAGGAAAATAGATGGTCATTTTCTACATGTGATGCCATGGTACTATTTCTTCAAAGGAAATATGATCTCAAACAGCAACACAGAAAACAAACAGAGGGGAACTGGGTCTTTGGGCCTCCCGGGCTGTCTTCATGGGCCCCGTGGGGTTCCCAAGGCCGTGCCAGGGAGCCTTCTTTGAGAGCAGCCCTGGGCAGACCAGGGCCCAATGTGGCCTGAGGCCTCTGTGCGGTTGGCTGCCTTTCCTGGTCATTAATCGCTACTAAGTGTCATTACCACTAATAAAATTAACCGACTTGATACTGGACTCTCTGAGCCATCAATCTCAGGGTCCATTAGATGAAATTTAAAAAACAGATGCCTCTAGGGTGGGGCCTGGGGATTTGCATTCCACCGAGCTCCCAACAACGCTGGCCATGCAGAGCTGGGCACTGTTTGAGACCCACTGCCCCCTCCAGGGTCTCTTCCCCTGGGCATTGTGGACATCGTGGTGGGGTGAGGCCGTTCTGGAAACTGCAGGGTGCTGGGCAGCATCCCTGGCCTCCACCCACTCCATGCCAGAAACACCAAAAACAAAAACAAACAAACCAACCAACAAAAACCAGATGCCTGTTGAATGAGTAGAGGGGTTTGCTGGGTCTGGCTCCCAAGTGCAGCCTAGGGAATTCTGGCACTCCTCAGATGTCAGAGGTCAGAATCAAGGATGATGCCTTTAGTTAGACAAACCAACTCTGACCCTTCACCCCACACTTTAGGGGAGTCCCAGACAAGAACATAGCTTGGGCAGGGTGCAGTGGCTCACACCTGTAATTCCAGCACTCTCGGAGGCTGAGGCGGGTGGGTCACTTGAAGTCAGGAGTTCAAAACCAGCCTGGCTAACATGGTGAAACCCCGTCTCTACTAAAAATATGAAAATTAGCCTGGCATGGTGGCGCACACCTGTAGTCCCAGCTACTTGGGAGGCTGAGGAAGGAGAATTGCTTGAACCCAGGAAGTAGAGGTTACAGTGAGCTGAGATCACGCCACTGCACTCCAGTCTGGACCACACAGCAAGACTGTCTCAAAAAATAATAATCATGTTATATATCATGTCATATCATATGACATATAATGTAGCTATAATGATGTAATAATCATAGCTATTATTCTTTTTTTTTTTTTTTTAGACGGAGTCTCGCTCTGTCGCCCAGGCTGGAGTGCAGTGGCCGGATCTCAGCTCACTGCAAGCTCCGCCTCCCGGGTTTATGCCATTCTCCTGCCTCAGCCTCCCGAGTAGCTGGGACTACAGGTGCCCGCCACCTCGCCCGGCTAGTTTTTTGTATTTTTTAGTAGAGACGGGGTTTCACCGTGTTAGCCAGGATGGTCTCGATCTCCTGACCTCATGATCCGCCCGCCTCGGCCTCCCAAAGTTCTGGGATTACAGGCTTGAGCCACCGCGCCCGGCTGGCTATTATTCTTAAAATGGCATATGAGGCAGGTCTTGAAGGATATGCAGCTTCATTGGCCAAAATTTCCATTACTCCCTGCTCGCTCCCCCCTCTGTCAATCAGCTGCTACCAGAGAGGTCCAGTTTCTGAAACACAGGAATTGTGTGAGCAAAAGTCGCTGCTCACACCAGCCCTCAGTGTGAGGAGGAGGACATTTGAGGGCAAGGTAGCTGCAGCCCCCAAGCTGCCCTCCACACTGGAAGCCAGTCAAGGCGTGGCCTCCTCAGCTGGAGTTGACATCTAGTTCTGCTCTGGACCTGCCAAGGGTCAAACTCTGAGGGTTTCCTGCCAGGCTGCAGGGAGGGGTTTGGGTGTAGACCTGGTGGACTGGAAAATTACCCATTTGCCCCCAGATTAATGATTAACGGGTCCCTGCCCTCACCCTGTCTGGGAGAGGAGCCCAGGGCCAGGCTGGCCAGGGGGAGCCCGATAGCATCTGTCTCTGCTCGGAGGTTTCGGAGATATGCTCCATGGTGGGCTGACTGCACCTGATGGGTGTGGAATCTACGGGTGATTTCTGAGGGCACCTGGGGCCTGGCCAGGCCACATACCCTCCAGTGAGGCTTCTAACTTCTGGGGCATACAGAGAGGGTGTGGCATCCATTCAGACATCCTGATTAAGGCAGGTGGCTCCAAACAGGAGAGCTGTGACCTTGGCTCAGAGGAACGTGGGCTTCTCTGACCACTCCTGGCTTGACCACAGGACTTACCTTGGCCAGTGGCACATAAGCAACAGTGGCAAGTGCCACATCCAAGCAGGAGCTCTAAGAGCCATTGCCTGCTTCCACCTTTGCTTTTTTTTTTTTTTTTCTTTTTTGAGATAGGGTCTTGCTCTGTTGCCCAGGCTGGAGTGCAGTGATGCGATCTCAGCTCACTGCAGCCTCCACCTCCCAGGATCAAGCTATCCTTCCACCTCAGCCTCCCAAGTAGCTGAGACTACAGGCTTGTGCCACCATGCCCACCTTATTTTTCTATTTTTAGTAGAGACAGGGTTTTGCTGTCGCCCAGGCTGCTCTCAAACTCCCGGACTCAAGCGATCCACCTGCTCGGCCTCCCAAAGTGTGGGATTACAGACGCGAGCCACTGTACCCAGCCCACCTTTGATCTTTTACTGGCTATGAGGCCAGGATGTCCCAGAACGGGGTTACTTCTTTGGGGCTGGGTCCTGGAATGATGTATATTCCACCCACACTGGGGGCGCCAGGGTATAGGACAGCAAACATTTTGAACCAGCAGAGCCATCTCACAGAGAGCTTCTGGGAAGAGGGAAGGTGAACTCTAATTCGAATTCCCACCCTGCTCCTGATCTGTTGTATGACCAGGCCAGTTACTGCCTCCTCATAAATCCTTCGTTTCCTCATCTGGACAAAGGGGAGACTCTGCTTAGCTAGAGAGGAAAGCATCTTGCAAAATGAGAGAAGTTTGGGAAGCTCCAGCTAGTAGGAAGTTAGGCCTGCATGTCCCAGGCACTGTGCTTAGTCCATGTCATATAATCCTCCCAGCAACCCTAGGAGGTAGAGAAGATTATGCTGCCCAGTTTCCAGAAGGGAAAAAACCAAGGTGTCAAGATTGCATAGCCAGAATGTCAGCCTTAGAATTGGGCAGCTTGGCTCCAGAATTGATGAACTTTCAATCCAGGAGAACAAGAAGTCTGGGATTGATGGCCTGACGGGAATTCAGCTCCTTCACCTTCATCTAGCCATCCATCAGTCCATCAGTCCTTCCTTCCTTCCTTCCTTCCTTCCTTCCTTCCTTCCTTCCTTCCTTCCTTCCTTCCTTCCTTCCCTTCTCTTTCCTTCCATCCCCTTGTCTCTCCAGGCATCTATTTGTTCCAGGCACCGAGTGGTCGGATGGTTGAAGATCTATCTGGGAATTACGGAAACATGTTAGATTGGTATGGCATTACTTGGGCAGCAGCATAATGTAAGGGAGAGAGGGATGTCAGGGGACCTTGGCTGGGTGTCCGCTCGATGTCCACATCCCCTCTGCCTGCCCCCTCTTAGGAATGTGGCTCTCCTGGCCAGGCAGTCAGCAGTACTCTGTGCATCGTTTCCCAGACTTCCCAGATCACAAAAGCTGCCCAGGGACTGTGGTAAATACACAGATTCCCAGGCCCAGTTCCAAACCAACAGACCCAGAATTGCCCAGCATGGATCCTGGGAAAGCATATTTTAAATAAGCACCCCAGATGATTTTTCTAACTGGGCCAGTTTGGGAAATAGGGTGGATAAGAAGAGCAGAGACTGGAATCTGGAAAACAGGGTTAAAGTCCTGCAGCAACCCTTGTTACGTGAACCTTGGTTTCCTGTAAAATGGGGACGGGACTTCCAGGGGGTCAACCTGCCACCCAGAAGGGCAGTAAATGAAGCCCCTGAGGAGGCCCCTTCCCTTCACTTGCCCGTCACCACCATCCCCAAGGCTCACCCGTCTCCCTCCTCTCGCTCTCTCTAGCCTGACCGGGCGGGAGGTCCTGACGCCCTTCCCAGGACTGGGCACTGCAGCGGCCCCGGCACAGGGCGGGGCCCACCTGAAGCAGTGCGACCTGCTGAAGCTGTCCCGGCGGCAGAAGCAGCTCTGCCGGAGGGAGCCTGGCCTGGCTGAGACCCTGCGGGACGCTGCGCACCTCGGCCTGCTTGAGTGCCAGTTCCAGTTCCGGCATGAGCGCTGGAACTGTAGCCTGGAGGGCAGGACGGGCCTGCTCAAGAGAGGTGGGGAGGAGGGCCAGGGGAGGAGGAGGGCTGGGGGAAGAAGGCTTCAGGGAGGAGGAGGCTGGGAGAGGTTGCCCTTTCCTTTTTCCTGGCTCCTGTGTCCAGGCCACACTGCCCTTCCTGCCCTAGCACAGTCCCAAATGAGAAGAGTCCTGGGAGTTAATGAGGGACAGTTGAAGGCCAGGTGTGGCCCAGCCTCAGGTTTGGGGGAGCAGAGGAGCAAGGAAGATCCAAGAGAGAAGGAGACACAAGCCTATTCCTGGAGGAGCCCACAGATGAGATGGGGGTCCCCCAGTTGTCTCCCTCTGCCACACACACACACACACACACACACACACACACACACACACAGGCACAAAACAAGGCACATGAAGACGTGAGGATGGGCGGCAGCTGGTTCCAGGCCCGATGACACGAGCCAGGCCATGCATTTGTTCACTCCTTTATCTGTCCCTTTGTTCATCACATCCATCGATCCATCAGTCCCTCCTTCCCTTCCACTCCCATTCTACCTCCCTCCCACCTCCACCCACCCACTAAGCATCTGTGGAGGCTCATAGTGAGCCAGGCACTGTGCCAGATTCTGAACAAGACCCCAGCTGCCCTCGGGAACCATGCAGTCTGGAAGGGAGAACACAGATCACCATGTGACTCCCTCGCCAAGGGGAAAGGACTTTTGAAGGGGAAGGACGAGGGAATGTGGCTTGAGGACACAGCTCTGGGTGGGTCTCCCTGTCAATTGCCCCTTAAACTCTGACTGCAAGTTGCCATTTTAAATGGAACTTCCAGGCTGGGTACAGTGGCTTGTGCCTCTAATCCCAGCACTTTGGGAGGCTGAGGCGGGTGGATCACTTGAGGTCAGGAGTTCAAGACCAATCTGGCCAATATGGTGAAACCCCGTCTCTACTAAAAATACAAACATTTAAAAACTGCAGTTGGCTGGTTGCCGTGACTCACACCTGTAATCCCAGCACTTTGGGAGGCCAAAGTCAGGAGTTTGTAACCAGCCTGGTCAAAATGGTGAAACCCCATCTGTACCAAAATACAAAAATTAGCTGGCATGGTGGCAGGTGCCTGTAATCCCAGCTACTCGGGAGGCTGAGGCAGGAGAATTGCTTGACCTGGGAGGTGGAGGTTGCAGTGAGCCAAGATCGCACCACTGTACTCCAGCCTGGGAGACAGAACGAGACTCTGTCTCAAAAAAAAAAAAAAAAAGCAGTGATGCTGTACAGGGCAGCCATGCCCCTCCTAGGCCAGCTGCTCTCCACGGTCTGCAGCCAAGCTAATAGCCTCTCTCTGTGTCTCTTGTGGGATGTCATCAGCACCCAGATGCACTGGAGGGCAGGTAGGAAGTAGTGAGCCGGTGGGAGGCCAGCTTTGGGCCACACCCAGCAGAGAGGAGAGCAGTGGTCCCAGAGTGGGTGGGATGGTCAGTCTGGGGCAAGTCAGCCAGGAGACTCAAGGTCACTCTGTCATTGGGCCCATTCCACAGTGGGTAGCAGAGAATGACATTTGAGAACCATCATGCCTCACAGGAAGCCCCCAGGGCTTATCTCAGGGGCCTCAGACATAGACTGGTCCAAATGGTCACACGCTGACTCAGAGTCAAAATGGCAAGTTTAGCCCCAACTGTGCCTGCACCAGTTTTCTGAGTAGCTTCTCTTTGCATCTCAGTGTTCTGAGAGGTGGAGGCCGTAGCCCCTGGCCTGCCGCCCTCTGGAAATCTGGGCACATACTCCATAGTGAATTTGTAAGTTCCATTTATTTATTTATTTATAAATTTTTAAATTTTTTTTGACATAAGGTCTCCCTCTGTCACCCAGGCTGGAGTGCAATGGCACAATCTCAGCTCACTGCAGCCTCCACCTTCCAGGTTCAAGTGATTCTTCTGCATCAGCCTCCTGAGTAGCTGGGAGTATAGGCATGTGCCACCATGCCCAGCTGATTTTTGTATTTTTAGTGGAGACGGGGTTTCACCATATTGGCCAGACTGGTCTTGAACTCCTGACCTCAAATGATCTGCCCGCCTTGGCCTCCTAAAGTGCTGGGATTAGAGGCACGAGCCACTGCGCCCAGCCTGGAAGTTCCATTTAAATGGCAACTTGCAGTCAGAATTTAAGGGGCAGTTGACAGAGAGACCCACCCGGAGCTGTGTCTTCAAGCCACATTCCCTTGTCCTGCCCATCATGGCACTGCCACCACCGCCTCCTGCCCTCAGAGGGCAGCAGGCAGCCTCTAAGCTTTCTCCTTCCCTCTCTTCCCCCTTTCCTCCCTCCCTATACCCCTGGGTGCCCGATCCAGGCTTCAAAGAGACAGCTTTCCTGTATGCGGTGTCCTCTGCCGCCCTAACCCACACCCTGGCCCGGGCCTGCAGCGCTGGGCGCATGGAGCGCTGCACCTGTGATGACTCTCCGGGGCTGGAGAGCCGGCAGGCCTGGCAGTGGGGCGTGTGTGGTGACAACCTCAAGTACAGCACCAAGTTTCTGAGCAACTTCCTGGGGTCCAAGAGAGGAAACAAGGACCTGCGGGCACGGGCAGACGCCCACAACACCCACGTGGGCATCAAGGTGAGCATGTCCCTGGCTGCCCACAGTGCCTTCCCACCAGGGTGCAGAGCCAGGGAGCAAGGCTTGAAGAAGGCCAGCACCCCACCCCCCAAAACAGATGAAGAGCCATGAACTTCATGAAGGCAGGATGAACTTCACGTCTTCAACCAACATTCCCTTGGCATCTACTCTGGGCCATGACTGGGTGCCAGGAACACAGCGGAAATAGGGAAGGGTCATGAGTGTCATCGGTGGGAGCAGTGGTCAGCAGTGGGAACCAGGCTTAGGACTAGGTCTTGGTGAAGCAGGGAGATGTTTGGAGAGGGGTCTCCATTCTAAGGACCGGGCCTTCCTGGAGGTCCTAGAAGCCAACATTGTTTGATAACCTCCATCTAGAGCAACCTCGCTCCTCCTCCATTTTATGGGTGGGAAGATAGAAGTGGCCCAGAGAAGGGAAGGGGCTGAGGTACACAGTAGTGGGAGGCCTGGAGGGTGAAAAGTATCTTGGTCTATTGAGGGGAGGAGGCTGGGAGACGCCAGTGCTTTAGCTGTTTACGAGATTAAGTTCTGAGTTGTCATCACTGAGTTGTGAACCAGGACTGCTGTGTTCAATCACTGAGTTGGTGTGAACCAGGGCTGCTGTGTTCAATCACTGAGTTGGTGTGAACCAGGGCCGCTGTGTTCAGTCACTGAGTTGGTGTGAACTGGGGCCACTGTGTTCAATCACTGAGTTGGTGTGAACCGGGGCCGCTGTGTTCAGTCACTGAGTTGGTGTGAACTGGGGCCACTGTGTTCAATCACTGAGTTGGTGTGAAATGGGGCCGCTGTGTTCAGTCACTGAGTTGGTGTGAACCAGGACCACTATGTTTAATCACTGAGTTGGTGTGAACTGGGGCCACTGTGTTCAAGCACTGAGTTGGTGTGAACTGGCGCTGCTGTGTTCAGTCACTGAGTTGGTGTGAACCTAGGCCACTGTGTTCAAGCACTGAGTTGGTGTGAACTGGGACTGCTGTGTTCAATCACTGAGTTGGTGTGAACCGGGGCCACTGTGTTCAGTCACTCAGTTGGTGTGAACCGGGGCTGCTGTGTTTAGTTGCATAAATGGTCTATTCTACAAGAACTCCAGGCCAAGGGGAGGAGCTGGGACTGAGACCTGGCCCACTCTGTTGTCACCAAGGCATGCACATTGGCACAGTACAGGGCTGTCTCTGCCAAGGGGAAGGGAGTCTTTTACTATTAATAGTTTGCACGAAGGTGCCTCATGGCTAGCTTGGGTTCTCTCTTTCCCCCTCATGGGAACCTTCCTCTGTCTCTTTCCCATTCTCCTGCCGCTGCCTTGCTGGGGTTGGTGCTCTAGGGGCAGGCTCTGGCTGCTGGGCCCAGGCCTCTGACCACACCTCTTTTCTGCCTCCCCCCACAGGCTGTGAAGAGTGGCCTCAGGACGACGTGTAAGTGCCACGGCGTGTCAGGCTCCTGTGCCGTGCGCACCTGCTGGAAGCAGCTCTCCCCGTTCCGTGAGACGGGCCAGGTGCTGAAACTGCGCTATGACTCGGCTGTCAAGGTGTCCAGTGCCACCAATGAGGCCTTGGGCCGCCTAGAGCTGTGGGCCCCTTCCAGGCAGGGCAGCCCCACCAAAGGCCTGGCCCCAAGGTCTGGGGACCTGGTCTACATGGAGGACTCGCCCAGCTTCTGCCGGCCCAGCAAGTACTCGCCTGGCACGGCAGGTAGGGTGTGCTCCCGGGAGGCCAGCTGCAGCAGCCTGTGCTGCGGGCGGGGCTATGACACCCAGAGCCGCCTGGTGGCCTTCTCCTGCCACTGCCAGGTGCAGTGGTGCTGCTACGTGGAGTGCCAGCAATGTGTGCAGGAGGAGCTTGTGTACACCTGCAAGCACTAGGCCTACTGCCCAGCAAGCCAGTCTGGCACTGCCAGGACCTCCCGTGGCACCCTTCCAGCTGCCCAGCCGGCCTGCTGGGCAGGCAGTCATCACATACGTGCATAAACCGGCATGTGTGCCAATGCACACAAGTGTGCCGCTCACCACCATTCCTTGGCCAGCCTTTTGCCTCCCTTGATACTCAACAAAGAGAAGCAAAGCCTCATCCCTGAACCCAAGCGTCTCCAACCTTGTTGAGGACTTGGAGAGGAGGGCAGAGTGAGAAAGATGTGGAGGGAAATAAGGGAGACCAAGAGCACACCAGGACTGAAGTTTTGGAGGGGAGAGAGGGGCTATTCCATCTTGCTTCCTGGGATGAATGGCTTGGAGCCAGCATGTTCTTGGAAGGTGAACTGCTGGGCTGGGAATGCCAAGGCATGCAGTGCCAGCTGGAAGTGAAGGTGGGATCCTGGCTGGGATGGGCCAGTTGGGTCCTGTGGCCCCGCTCAGGTGCAGTGAGCTCCAGGTGTCACACACCTCCACCACTCCCCTGGTTTTGCTGTGCCAGAGATGGGGAGAAAGCCCAAGCAGTAGAAGCCATCCATTCAGAGAAAGGAGAGCTTTCTGCGCGTGAGTGAACCCAAGTGAGATCTGTGTCCTGGAGCCCTGTGTCCTTGTTTTGGCTTTTCAAATATGCCTCGCCTGAGGCCTTATTCTTGTCTTGAGAGCTGGGTTATGCACACTCACCCAGATGTGCTCAAAATGACCACCAGTGCAGGTAAGGCAGGTGGGAGAATCAGTCACCAAGGCGGGACTCAGTGAGTGACCTGAGGTTGAACAGGGAGACAGTGGCCCCTCCGTGTGTTCCTTCCTGGTCAAAGGAATCTTTACTCCCAGCCCAGAGGAGGAGGGCGACAGCTTCCTGGTGCCTGGCAGTGACGTGGCACGCTCAGTTTCTCAGCTGGCTCTTGAGACAGCTTTGGTGACTTCCTGTGGCTGGGGCCTGCCTGGTCTGTGATGCCGCCACACCAGCTGAGTTCACAATACTGAAGACCAGCAGGCTCAGGAGCTATGACTTGAAGTTACATTTCTATTCTTGCGGCTGCTCATCTAATTGAGGCTTTTGCCCTGGCTGGGGTTATAGGTGCTTGAGTCCTTGCTAAGCCTGGCTCCTGGGTAGCCTCCTTCAGTGCCTAATGGCCTCTCACTCGGCCCTCACTTTGGCTCTTACTTGAGGAGACGTGACTTTGATCATTTCCTCAGATCCTGTGGACATTTTCAGCAACACCTGCCAAGGCCCTCTGTGAGAGGAGGAGAGACTGGCACCTCCGCACAGGCACACATGGATGCACAGCCCCTGAACCAAACTGGGGGTTCCCGTTGCACACGCCTCTCTGGTTCAGGATGAAGACCTTGCAGGGGTCACCTTGCTGGAGGCGTTGTACTTCCCCAGAGTGGGGCCCGATGCCAGCCAGGAGGAAGTGACTTCTTTCGGGAAGCCCTTGGCCACTTTGCTGGCCCTGCCACGCCCCTCTGTCAGCTTCCTTTCTCCCTAAACCTAGAATTGCTGACCCTTCACCGACACAGGAAACTTCAGAATCAGCTGAATGCTCAGAAACCTCTCCTGTGCCAGCTCCAGGACAAAGGCCCACACCCTGGGCCCCGGCCAACTCCCTGAGACCTCCAAGGGCGAGGAGGAGCTGCCCAGTCTCCAGTGGATCAGGGCAGTCTGGTGGATGCTGGAAGGATTTTCGACTGCAGAGGCTCAGCCGAGAAGCCAAACTGACCTGCGCCCCTCTCGTTAAAATGACGTTGCTGACCCAAGCACCTGGCCCACACCTTGGCAGACGGAAAACGGGGAGAGGGCTGGTTCTCTTGTTTCTTCCGCTTTCCCACAGCATGGAGAGACTTTCTCTGCCTTCCCAATGCATCTTGCTCCTCTGAGACCCCAACTCTGCCTCCACCCAGGCTCGGTGCTGGGCATAAGGCAGCAGGGACCTCACTGGCAGAACAGGGGGCCTGGGAGCAACTTGGGGGCCAGAGCACCCTGATCCACCAACACGCCACCCACATTCTGACTTCATGACTGGCAGTGCCAGGGTCACGGGAGGGCAAAGGGCAGGCTCTAAGGCATCTAGGCAGTGGCTGGCTGCTGACATGGACACCCCAAGTCAATGGCACAGTGCAGGTTCTGAGGGCTCCTTGGCTTGGGGGATCTTCTCTGTCTGTCTCTCTCCCTCTCTTCTCCTTCCTTGCTCTCATCCCTTTCTTTTCCAGTTACCCCTAAAGACCCACCTCGGCCCTCTTGGGGCCCCTGGGGACTAGAGTGACCACTGACCCCTCATTCTACAGCTTTAAGGGAAATGCTCACAGGGTATTTTTGTCTACCTCAAATATATAGTTTTTAGAGCAAAGGAGAATAATTTATGTAGCTAAGATATATGAGAAAGTATTTATATTATTTATATAGTTGCTATATTTCATGGACAGCACAGGTGGGGTTTGTGTGTTTTCCCAGAAACCCTCTGGGGAGATACAGCCTGACCTGACTGGGTCCACCACTGAGCAGGAGGCCAGGTGGCCGGGAAGGAGGTCGAGCCTGTATCCCATGACTGGGTCTGTCTCAGAGCTGGTGAGCACATGTCCCCTCTGTGACGAGCCCTGGTGGGCTCCATCCAGACCCTCCTTGTGATGTTTTTATAGATTTTCTGCTCTTCTGGGTCCAGGCCCCCTTCTTCTGCTCTGGCAAAAGTGTCTTGCTCATAATAATAATGACAACTAGAATGCCCACACCTGGCATTTGTAAAGCACTTTGCTGTTCAGAAACAAAAACTTTTACCCCTCTCATCTCACTTGATGTCTCCGTTATCTCTGTGAGGTAGGTGGGGCCACATTACCGTGGCCATTTTGTAGATGAGGCCCAGAGACGGAGAGCTGTGCTCAAAGTCACAATGAAGAGACTTGTTCAGTGATTATTTACGGAACGTCTCCATAGACCAGGCGCTGTGGGCTGACTTCTCCGAGCCCAGGAGTCCCAAAGCCTGGATACCACTGTGAGTCCAAGAACTCAGGGAAGCAGTTCCTTCCCGGGCTGTGATCCCGGCCTTTCGGATCTGGATGGCATGTTGGCACTTCCTCCAAGTGGAGTCCCATGTCTCAGGGGCTGAGGCTGCCTGAGAAGGCTGGAGAGACCGGAACCCCACGGAGGCCACTCCAAGGGGTCCTTCTGCCCACATCGCCCATGAAGGTTGGGCTACACCACCGGGCCCCTCCCAACCTACAGATGAAATTTGTGTGCTCTCATTTGTGTTTTGCTTGTAAAAATTCATTGCTTTCCACTGGATTTCTGGCTACTTTAGCAAAAGTCAGCTGCACTGGCAGACTGGGCCTGCATTTCCTCCTGGCCACAGGCAGCTAGGGCGAGGGAGCCTGTTAGACAGGATGCCCCGAGTGCCCCATCGCTCGTGGATGCTCCTGCCTGCCTCTCAAGAGCACATAGTCCTGTCCCCTGGTCTAGATAAGCCCAGCTTTCCTGGTACCCTTCATCCCCTGGCAGACAGACGGCCCTGTGCCAACCCTGGAGATTACTTGCTTTTGAACCTTTCCTTTCTCAAAAACCATGAACTTCCAATGCTTTTTGTCTCAGGACACTTTAGAATAACAATGGAAACCATCACTTATTGAGCGCCCCTTATGTCCATTTATTCAACCAACGATTATTTAAGGATCTCTTATTGAGTGCCAGGCAGCATCCCGGGTGCTTGGTACAGCAAGGAACAGGACCAAGTCTCTGCCTCATGGGGCTGACATCCTAGTGGGTGAGAAAGACAATAAACCAATAAATGACATGCCAGTTATTTGCATTGACTTTGTCTCAATTTATTGCAATAACTTTGCACACTGGACATGTTCCCTGTAATGGAGAAGGAAATGGAGGTTGTGAGATGAGAAGCCTCCTCATTGCAACTGGCAGGCAGTGGGGCCAGGATTGGAACACAGATCTCCCAGCCTCCAAAGTATGGGATTTTTCCTCTGTACACTGGTATAGGTCGGGCAGGGATGGATCGCCCCATTTTATGGATGCTGGGTAAACTGAGGCCTAGAGGAAGGAAGTAACCCATCCTGGATTACACACCAACTCAGACCAGAGCCTGGGTCCTTCCTGGAGGTGATAAGCGTTTCCGGAGCCCTCATGCTATGGCAAGCAGCGTGGGTCAGGGTGGGGTGGGATGAAGCCAAGCAGGGGCCTTCAGGGACCTACAGTCTAACAGGAGAAATGAGAAGCACAGCCATGCAGTGGTTTGGGTCATTTACACATGAACCCTGTGTCCCATTTCTGGCCACAGTGCCTTCCCAACATGCTTTGGGAGGCCTCACCCATCAGGATCCTCCTGGCGGTCTGAGGGGAGAGGAGGCGTCTTTCTGAGCCAAGCACAACAGAGTGTGCCTGTCTCCTGGCTCAGGCCTGCCCTGCCCCAGTTCTTCAGCCCTGCTGGGGTCCACATTGCCTTACCTGGCTCCCCAGGGCGGAAGGCAGTCCAGCTTGCAGGGGCCTACATTTCCACTAGCATCCCTGTCCTAACATGCTCCTTCTACCCAGTGTTCCTGGGCCCGGAGACCAGCTGGCTCTGAGTAATGACAGACACGTCCGCATGCAGCAGCAGGCTCCAGTTTATCAAGGGATTTCTCATCTGTTTCCTCTCTTGAATCTCACAAGCTGGACACCCCTCTTCTTTTTTTACAGATAGGGGAATTGAGACACAAAATGGTTAAGTGACTTACCAAAGGCTACATTGCTAACAAGTGGATCCAGGCCTTTTGCCTCCAAACCCCATATTCTTTCTACCATACACCATCCTCACCTCCTCTTGTCCCCATCTGAGCCTTACTTTGTTCCTACTCATAAACTGGTTCCCAAACAGGCCCGCAGACCTCTCCACCTCCAGCTGCTCAGTGCCACCATCTTCCAGGAGAACCAGGGCTTGTGGAGACAATCACTAGGTGGGTACCCTACCCACAATATCCCCTTCCTTTAAAAACAGCCACATGTGCTATCTCTCTTTGCATATGCAATATTTATCTTGTTGAATCATTTGTGAGACCTTTGCAGACACCGAGATACTTACATACTTTATCATGTATCTCCTAAGGACGAGAACATTCTCCGACAGAACCACAAGGCCATCACCACATCTAAGAGCTGTAACATTGACACAAATTCTCTACTACATAGTCCACATTCAGACTTCCCCAATTGTCTCTCAAAATGTCCTTTATAACATTATTTTCTGGCCAGGTGCAGTTCATATCCATAATCCCAGCAATTGGAGGGGCCGAGGCAGGAAGATCACTTGAGCCCAGGAGTTTGAGGCTTTGGTGAGCTGTGATTGCACTACTGCCTTCCCACCTGAGCGACAGAGCGAGACCCTGTCTCTAAAAAATTAAAATTAAAAACATTTTAAAACATGTTTTCCTGGCCCAGGATCTACTCAAGAATTGCACATTGTTGTTATGTCTCTCCACCTCCCTGTAATCTAGAATAATCCCCTGCTTTCTTTGCTTTCATAACAGTGATAGTTTGAAGAGTTCAGGCTGCACGTCTCATAGAACACCTCTCAACTGAGATTTGCCTGATCGTTTCCTTATACTTGGATTCAGGTTAAACATTTTGGTAAGAAGCTGCTTGGTTGGTGTGTATCCTATTCTGTGCATGCTGTTAGGAGCCACAGGATGTTTCACTCTGTCGCCCAGGCTGGAGTGCAGTGGCGCAATCTCGGTTCACTGCAACCTCCACCTCCTGGGTTCAAGCGATTCTCCTGCCTCAGCCTCTAGAGTAGCTGGGATTACAGGCTCACCCATGATGGGGATGGGGACATTCTGGAGGAGAGGCACTGGGGGGAAGCATCCTATATGCCTGCCCCCACCCTCCCCATTTCTTTCCCATTCTTGACTTCACCCCATCTCTCACCAGTTCCTTCTTGCAGCTGATCATGCAGCAGACACTGATTGGTGGCCTACGGTGCACGAGGCACATGACGGGGTCCTAGACGCCATGGTAATGAGACTAGGTCCAGCCTTCAGGGAGGTCCCAGACAAGGGGAGAGACAAGCAAATAGATGGCTGGCATGCACGGTGTCCAGAACTCCAGTAGCTGGCTCTGTGCAGGCTCCACTCCACACAGGCACTCCTGTGCGGGCCATTTCCTCACATTCCCCTCTGGGCAACCCCAGAGGTCCCCAGGGGTCCATACAACCACGAGCCCCATTTTTTTTTTTTTTTTTTTTGAGACGGAGTCTCCCTCTGTCTTCCAGGCTGGAGTGCAGTGGCATGATCTCGGCCCACTGCAAGCTCTGCCTCCTGGGTTCACGCCATTCTCCTGCCTCAGCCTCCCAAGTAGCTGGGACTACAGGTGCCTGCCACCACGCCCGGCTAATTTTGTTTTTGTATTTTTAGTAGAGACAGGGTTTCACCGTGTTAGCCGGGATGGTCTTGATCTCCTGACCCCGTGATCCGCCCACCTTGGCCTCCCAAAGCGCTGGGATTACAGGCATGAGCCACTATGCCCAGCATTGTTTTTTGTTGTTGTTGTTTTTGTTTTTTTGAGATGGAGTCTTGCTTTTGTCACTCAGGCTGGAGTGCAGTGGCATGACCTTGGCTCACTACAACCTCCGCCTCCCGGGTTCAAGTGATTCTCCTGCCTCAGCCTCTAGAGTAGCTGTGATTACAGGCACCCGCCACCACGCCTGGCCTTATTTTTGTATTTTTAGTAGAGACAGGGTTTCACCATGTTGGCCAGGCTGGTCTCGAACTCCTGACCTCAGGTGATCAACCCACCTTAGCCTTCCAAAGTGCTGGGATTACAGGTATGAGCCACTGCGCCTGGCCTATGATCCCCATTTTATAGATGAGGAAACTAAAGCTCAGAGAGGCTCCCTGGCCACGCAGTAACTAGCAGGGCTGGAAATGAAACAGCTTCGTCACTGTCTCTTCCGGGGAGTGCAGGGCATGGCCTGGGGACAGACAGAAGGGGTATGAGGGAGTTGCAAGGATTCAGGGTGACTGGTGGCATCTTCTAATCCTGCTGCTTGGTCCTCCTTGTCTTCTCCTCTCTCTCTTTCTCCCCACCCTGCATACCTGTGGAGAGGAGGCTGATGCCTCTTGCGCATCTTATCCCCCCACTCCCATCCCTCCTCAAGTCCCCAGGGGCTGTGGGGCCCACATTCCTCACTGGCTCTCTTGGGCCCATTAGTGTGTTTATGCTGGAGCTGTCTCAGGGGAGCTGAGCCCCTACCCCTGCCCCACCGTCCTCCCACCATGGAGAGTGGGCAGTGGAGTGGTGGAGGCCGGGCAGAGGCGCGGGAGAACCTGACTCAGCGTCCGAATTCCTGCCCCCACGTCTCAACAAGTCCAGGGTGGCCAGAAGCCTGGGGAGCAACGATAGCCCCCCGGACCCCCACCTCTTCCCACAAAGCCCCTCCAGAGCCTGACAGGCTCTAATCTCAGCTGTCTTCATGCAGCCAGCCCTCCGAGCCCGGGGTCACCTGACGCCGACACATTTTAATTCAGAAGCTGATTTCTGCTTGTTGGCAACATGTCATTTCTGAAATTGCTTTCTCTGCCCAGAGGCGGGAGATGTCAGAGCTGTGCAGGTGTTGCAGTGGTGCCGCCCCTGCCCCACACCCAGCCCCCTCCCCAAGTTCAGGAAGGATTAAGGGGCGTGAGGGGGCACACAGGAGATCCTCAAGCTCTGCTTCTCATGTTTCCCCAAGGGCTGGGGGCCAGGGATGGGGGATGCCTGGAATGGCCTCTGCTTTCCTTTCCAGGCTGATGACAGAGGCCCAGGGTTTGGTAAATGGAGTTGCTGCTCTGCCAGTACTGACAACAGCCACAGTAGTTGTTTTGCGCAGGCTGCATACAGGTACCAAGTGCTCTGCAGAGCACCTCTCACGTGCATTGTTGTATTCGAATCTTATGACAACCCTCCAATTTGGTGTCATCCCTCCTTTGCAGCTGAGAAAACTGGGGCTCAGAGAGGTTCGATCACTTACCTGAGGTCACACAGCAAGTATGTGGCAGGGCCAGCGTTCAGACCCAGGGAGGGCAACAGCTGGACTGGGATTGGGAGGTCTGGGAAGGGAAGGGAGAGGCCGTGGAGCTGGGAGGACTATGGCCTGGCTTCTCCTATATTTGCTTCCTGACTTGGTTCAAATATCTCCAGTGAAATTTGTGAACTCCCCCAACTTCCCAACTCCTGCAACCCATCAAATAGTTATTTGCTCCCTCTTTTATATTTCCTTAGCTTTTTATTTTAGATGAAGTCTTGTTCTTGTTGCGCAGGCTGGAGTGCAGTGGCAAGATCTCGGCTCACCGCAACCTCCACCTCCGGATTCAAGCGATTCTCCTGTCTCAGCTGCCTGAGTAGCTGGGATTACAGGCATGCGCCACCACACCTAGCTAATTTTGTATTTTCGGCTAATTTTATATTTTTAGTAGAGATGGGGTTTCTCCATGTTGGTCAGGCTGGTCTCGAACTCCTGACCTCAGGTGGTCCACCTGTCTCGGCCTCCCAAAGTGCTGGTGTGATTACTGGTGTGAACCACTGCGCCTGGCCAGCATTTGTTTTTGTTTTTTTTTTTTTCTGAGACAGAGTCTCGGTCTGTCACCCAGGCTGGAGTGCACTGGCGTGATCTCTGCTCACTGCCACCTCCACCTCCCAGGTTCAAGCGACTCTCTTGGCTCAGCCTCCCAAGTAACTGGGACAACAGGCGTGCACCACCACGCCCAGCTAATTTTTGTATTTTCAGTAGAGATGGGTTTTCACCATGTTGGCCAGGCTGGTCTCAAATTCCTGGTCTCAAGTGATCCGC